ATGTGGCACTCAGTCTCGTGGAGCGGACGATGCTCAAGGCCAAGACACTCAACAGAGTGACGTCTCACGCGCGATGAGGAATCAAATTTTGGGGCAGAATGCGTGGACGCCTCTCCTGGAGCGGGCGCTATGGAATTTCATAATTATTATAATATAATATATTATAATATATTATAAATATTATAAATATTATAAATAATTCATAGTTATTCATAACCAGGCGTTCCTGGACACAACACCGGTGAGGCGCTGGCAAAGAGTATGAACACCAGTCTCATGAAGCGGGGGCGATCAAGTTTCTAAACACTGCAACGTCGAGCACGAAGGCAGGGCCATAGGCAAAATCAGAGGCAGAATCAGAGCTAGGGTCAGAAACAGGAGGAGAGGCAGGGTCAGAGGCAGGATGAGAGGCAGGGTCAGAGGCAGGGTCAGAGGCAGCGTCAGAGGTAGGGTCAGAAGCAGGGTCAGAGACACGGTTAAAAGCAGGCAAGTCGGGAAGCACAGTTTGGAAGCATAGTCGAAGAGGGGAGCCAAGTTGCGGATACCTTGTGTTATGTTCATTCACATTTAAGTTGCACAAATCAAAAATTCCTTTTCTGAACACAAGTTCAGAATTCAAAAACTATAAGGTATCCTTTGTGTTCTTTTATAAAACATGCTGCAAGCTATGTTATTTTAATTAAAACTATTTTTATTTATCATTAATATCTATTAAGTAAATTACCATTGAGTATGAGACACCGTCTGCTGACCACACGGGGGCGATATGCAAAGCCAGCCCAAATGCTAGCAATAGCATCAGCAATCGCACCAGTCGGTAGCAAATCCCTAGCAGAGACTGTCTCATTATCCCTGGAGCTGAAGACTGAAAAAAGGACGGGGCTAATTTAGAGGCGAACCTCCCCAATCCGAATAATCCCAATTCTTATTTTATTTGTAACTCTTCACCGTCTCGATATACTCAGAAGTATTCAATTTCAAAGCTCAACTGGCCGGATTTTCGACACAAGCTTTATAGCTAGGACAAATTTGGTTATTAGAAGAATTTCAGAAGAAAATTTCTTGATCCTCATTGTGGAGCACATGAGAGGACAGAAATAAGTTCCCTTCCATAACATGGAATCTGTTTCTGAAACAATGCAGATTGCGAACGCAAGAAGTTGGAACAATAGGTAAATGAATTGCTTCGTGTCGATAATGTGGCCTACACAAAAACACTAGAAGGAATGTTTGTTGTTTCTGTGTTCCAGTTTTATATGCAACTTCACAGCTACAGCTGATTCACATGAATGAAATGTTCTAAAGAAGAGGACGAAATGAGCAAATTAATAAAGGATTGAAAAAAAGAAGAAGACTTTCAAAAACTTACATTTTCAACCGTAATACTTTTTATGTTATTGTTTTAAACATTTCAATTATGCCATTTGTAACTTCATTTGTTATTTTGATAACGGTTTTCTGTTATCTATGCATTCTCCTTTTTCCGCAGAAAACTTCCATTAATTCTTAACCCGACAGAGCTCGCACCGGGTCTTTGAGTTCCAGATAAATTAATTCATGTTTCTATGATAGGTGGCTGCGTGATAGAGATCTGTTTTTCGTATACCTTCCTATATTAAAAATAGTTTTATTATTGTATTCTAAGCGCTATGGTATTTTCCGTGCGGGTTTTGAAGAATAAACGTTTTAATACGTACTGGGTCCTGAAGACCAGCTGCAAGCATCTGTGTAACAAAACGTGATTATAGTTACAAGTGAGTGTTTGCTATTAAAATGAGATTTAGCTGTAACAATTGTAAAAATAAACTTGATTATATTTTAAAATATTTTAACTGAGTAAAAACAATTTCAACATATTTTAATGGAATTAAATATTTGTCACTACGAGGATGCAAATGCAATGTCAACATTTTTGAGTTCCTAATTAATGCGTATATTAAGCATAGAAAATATGAAAATGAATGTAAAGATAATTTATAGGAAACGGAAGGTAACTCCGGTAATGTATATTAAAGAAGAGTTCTGAAAACAAAGGAAAGATGTTAAAACGTGTGCTATATACAGAAATTCAAAACGTAATAAATATTATGAGAATCTTACTGAGTTTTCTTTCGAATTTTTTTATCAATATAATGAAAGTTTATCTGCCACCGTTTTTCAAGAATCTTAGTTTTGACATTGGGAGATCTGAGCGGTTGTTCATTATAATAAATGTTATTAAGAGTTCCTTGATTTAAACCTTTAGAAATAGTTTAAGAAACATTTCCAGTGGAAAGATGCAGCGTTAAATCTTTTTTGCACTGATTTCGAAAATATTAAATTTCACTAGTAATTTTACATACTAACAAGTGAATTGAAATTATCTTCAATTGATATGCATTTAAAACAGGGTTTCCCAGAGGGATTGGTATCGACTTTTTGGGAACGTAATCAAGATCCCGTTGATTCCAAATCTATTAATTAACTGGAAAATTAATTGTTCTCTAATATAAAGAAACAAAACAATAATAAATTTCAAATTCACTACTCTTCTTCCGTATCCATCGTTCATCCTTAAAATCAGGGGCGCATTAGGCTGGTACAATCGATTCACTGCACTGATTAACCGAAATGAGGGGCAATTAATGAGGACCTCCGTGGAGAGACATCGGGCGAAGAATATAACAAATTGTACTTCATGCTCATTTTCTGCATTGCATCAGCAATGTTCTTATATCAATCAGATTTAAAATTTCATTTTACATTTATAGTTTAAATTACCGCCATTTCGATTTTCTTTACCGAGAACGTAACTATGCAACAGCTTAGGATGCTTAGAAATCTCAACAAATTATAAGTATGTATTCACAACGATTCTCTATTGTGAAAGAAAATACTCGCGACAATACGCACTGAAGAAATGATAGGACGAATTGAAGCACGCTCAATCTTTTGTAAACATTACATAACAACGAAGATTAGAAATTAAGCTTTTGTAGATATTTACTTACAATATTAAGATTCATAATGTTTCAAATTCAGTTTTACAGATATTTAGTGAGCTTTTATCACGTACCACGCGCTTCTTTACTATTACGTTCGTATGAGACCGCTATGAAATTTGAGGTAGAGTGGACTGGATATCTGGCGACCAGCAATGACAATTTTATTAAAATGGAATGTGAAAAGTGTTTAAAATAAGGTACCTGAAGCATGCCTACGTACCCTCTGACCTGACAGTTCCCAAATTTCCGTGTTCCGCAGTAACTTCAAATTAACATTTATCCACTTCTTTAAAACGCTACTCACCCTCACCATGCTAGACATTAACTTCCGTGTTTCTGTTCTGCTGCAAGACGCCACTACAATAAAAAAATGGGAGTCACTAATCTATGTCTCCCACTCCTTTTTTTCTCCGCGACCGTCGAGGAATACCGCATACGCAACCACCTAGGCTGGGCAACGTAAGTTGCGTGACTATTACCGCAACAGATCGGTAATATGCGAAAAACCAAACAAAACAGAAGTACCATAAAACCACAAATGCAATTTCAGAAACCAACTACTGCAGTGCACTACATATTGATTGGCGATTTTCTTTATGCTTAATTAAGAATAAAGTTCTTTAAAACACTTTATGTTAGTGGATAAAAAAAATTCTGCTGAACTGTTGTTTTTCTAAAGGCTTCAGAATTAGAATTCAAAATTAGAACAATTAAAAAAGCTTTATTTTGCAAAATGGACATGTGTAGGTTTTCGAAATAATGAAATGTTTCCAAATAAATATTATTTAATACAATTATTTACTTCTACGAAGTTGCTTCGGATATATTCGTAATTATGCTAATATTCTTTTCTTGATACTTAAACTACAGTCCTAGATTCATCAAGTGAATCTGAATTAAAGCTACAAGCTGACATACATTTGTCTGCAATGCACTTACTAATATTGCGTAACAAAAAAATATCAGGGAGTAAAAAAGATTTGATTTCCACAATCTTTCTCTAACAGTTCACGTAGGACCTTGTCGTCAGATAATACGCCAATGTCCCTTGCAATGAAACAAGTTTCCGTACATTAATTCAAAATTAACCGTGATATGAAATGCATGTGCGCACGTGACCTGTGAGGGCGTGCGCATGTGACACTTGCCTATCGTACCACTCGCACGAGCCACCTCTCGAACGGCGACACGCCCGAAGACAAGCCATTCAGCGTGGGGTAACTGCTACATACGCACACAGTGCACAGACACACACACACACACACACACACACATATTAGCCTCTAGTAGGTCGGTAGCCTAGAAGTAGCCAAGTGATGTAGCCAGAAAGCTACGTACTGTGGCGTCTTTGCCGGGGCAATAAATACCAGACGCGAACGTTTTGTAATTTATTGAGTATTTATTTGAAAAATGCTCCAACACCTGTATACTATGTACAATAATTACAATAAACAATATTGACCCGTTACTAGAAGGAATGTTCCTGGTTATCTCCACCGCTGGCCTGATAATTAAATATCTTATTCCGTGTGATGCACCAGTAGCCTGTGTGAGCATGCAAGCGAGTATGCCGCACCTCCCGTCTCGACGTAGCACGCCGGCTTCAATTCCCTGCCTCAGTAGCCTATGCATTGAAATGCAGCGCCGCGCACAACCCACACGACTTCCTACCGACGCGCCTAAGAATCAGAAGAAGGAGTTTAGGTCCGGGGCCCGCATATATTACCTTTTGGGTCGGCTGACGGAGCTGCGTCATCTCGCTGTTTCCGCCGTTGCGTTTCCACAGCTAGCCTGTCTACGGGGTTCACAGGTTGCCACCCACGACACGGCACCCCTTCCCTTCCGCTCCCTAGGTTTGCCATTATTCAGCCCGGCGTCTCTTCCCGCCAGCGCTGTCCATGAAATGCACGTGGCTAATGTTTTGTCACATTTGGGCGACAGATATGACGCCACAGTACTAAATAAAGGCTTAGAGGTCCACCTCATAAGAAATGTTGATTAGTAGTGCTACAGAATGGCACAGACTTTCTCGTATGAGTTCCCTAGTTCCTTTAGCCTCGGCTAGCTATTCGTACTTCCCACAAACTCTTGTCAGATGCCATCTATCGCCACCCACAGTTAATTTTTTTAAATTTTCTTAATTTTTTGGATTTCCTAATAGTAGAACGGAAATATTATTTTAAGAATATTAAGGAACAGTAAAACCTCGTCCTAAATAGCATTTTGTAAAAAATTTGGAGCAATTTTTAAGAAAATGGCGTTTAAGCGCTACTGTAAATTCGAAATTTTAACTCTTTTTCACAGAAAATGTTTGTTTTTGAAAAACTTCATTAGAAGTCATTTGAAACACTTTAACTCACAAATACAATAGTATTTACAAATTGCTTGAAATGTGCATATTGTCTTTAAAAAATGACTTTTGTGTATTTTTGAAAAAACATAAAATACCCCAAAATGAACTTTACGACATATTAAAAAGTAAAATTAGCACTCTCCTCCGAAAAACCCGAAGAAAAAATTTGGAGCCGTTTTTAAGAAAATCTTGTTTTTGTTATTTTTTTAAAATTGCACATATTGCACTCAATACGTGCAATATGTGTGTATTTCCATTCAAATTACGAAATCGATTTTCAACAGCATTACATAACTTTCCCAATACTACTTATATGACTCCGTATATACGTAAGTATACTGAAAAGTAAAAACAAAAGTCACTTACTGGAAAATACATGAAAAATAATAAATTTACGAATAGAAGCGAAAGTGACTAAAACAAAGGCTTATACCTGTAATGAATTTAGAAAAAAGTTAGTAAATTAATGAAAGGAAAATGCCTCTCTTCAGTTTGTCTTCTATAGCTCGGCATCCTTTACTGACAGAAACAGGTACATGGTATTTGGAGGTGTTGAAGGTTCCCGTACGCTTGTACCAGTACCGATGCTGCTTTTCCCCCTCCAAAGTGTGAACGCGTGAATTACATTTCGGAATACATTGAGCCACTACCTTGCGGCTTAAGGAGCTAGATTGATTTCCAGCTTCATTGGTTACGCTGGAAATTGGAACGCGACTAGTCGCGTGGATTAAAATTTCACAAGTCTATTTAAAAAAATTCCATGCAAGTCCTTTAAAAATTATTTTCCATATTATATTCCAAAAGAACCATATTGTGTAAAAAGTGTCCTGCAAAATGTTATCATGATATTCTAAAATCATATCTGCTCACTTCATGGTTCATATCAAAATACAGACTTTTCTTCAACATTATCTTTCGATTACAATCCGATTTTTTTTTTAATTAACTCCAGCACCGTCATGCCTTCCGGCTTTTCTGGTAGTAACATTGCCACCGGATGCACAGGATTTCAACACAGGAATATCAAGAAATCTCGTAAACGTACTCTCACCACATGTCGAGATATTGAGTTGTCAAAACGCAGAGTGAACTAGACTCACGCATCACAAAGGGTTAAAATAAGGGTACCTTAATTCTTTTTTGGTACAAACGAAAATTTCAGGGGGGCAATACGGAAAAAGAAAGACACTTTGGCAGTAGTAGTGACGACGCTCTTGTTAGGGTATCGTGAATCAACACTTTAAATTGCTATATCTTAATTATTTTGTTCGTACAAACGAAAAGTTTCGTGAAACAATACGGTTCAAAAGATGGTCCCATTTGTTTGCGATGGTCGCGATGCCAGGATGATGTTGGTACTGCCACAATATGATGGCTGAATATATATTTGTTTGGTACAAATTATTTAGAATGGATCCAACTTTTTTCATTCTTGCACTTACATCGTAAGAAGAGAAAAATCGTTCGCCGAAAAAGGGAGACTTTTCGGCAGAAGAACTCTTATTGCCGGGCCCTTGAAACAAACAACTGGATTAATCTGGAAAAAATTTGCTGTATGTGGTAAATTACTTCCTCTATCCTGTAGTGGAGCCAGAATCCAGGTTTTGTCGGTTCTTGATACCGAAAAATCTATTGACGCTGAAACGTCTGTCCCTCCGTGTGTCTGTGTGCGGTCAACACTAGCGCCTCAAGCCTTCAGAATTTTTTCTTCAAAATTGATATTCTCCAATTGATCTGAACAAACTCGATGCTTTGGGAGTTTCAAACGGATATTTTTATTCTTGAGGCTACTGTACATGAAGCTTCAACATTTTAAATTTTTTTTTCAAAATGTTTTTTGTTGATTACACTTTGTTCTCGGATAGCGTAAAGAACGCATCAGAGATCAGTGCAAGTCTCACGTTCGTTAAAAGCTCCCACGTTTCGAAAATTGCAGAAGTGCAAAGTACATTATTTTAATGAAGATAGAGATTTTTCTTAATGAAATCTGTTCCTTAAAGACAGATCTTGAAATAAGGTCATGTGCACTTCTTCAAACATATGAGTGATTCTCGTGTAATTTTGCGGGAAATAAAGGCAATATTAATACAGGCAACTTCGCATATTTAATTTCAAAGGGGTATAAAAAGTGATATATTGAAGTCGTACGTTTTACCAAACAGCGTGATTTTCAAAACAAATAGTACATGTAAGATGTAATGTAGTTTTATTTCTGCTATCATATCCTTCGTACGATCGATTTCCTGAGTCACTATACATGCAGAAGATGATCTCAGCAGTTCTTATTCACTTTTTATATTGAATAGTTTCAATTGAGATATGAAAAATGACACTTTCCCGGAATGGTATTTGATATCTGAAATGTAACTCAAGAACGTCATCCTGTCTGGAAAAAATAGAATGGAATTGCTTCTCGAAAGCCATAAATGTCACTCCACAAATTCTTTGTTCATAGGCGAGAGGCAAGAGGATGTAATTTACTTTATATAGGAACAAAAATTATCCACTTTTTCGTTACCAGGGCTCGGCAATTGCAGTTTTTCTGCCGAAAATTCGCGATATTCCGTCACACAATTACAATACTTTCTCTTCTTACGAAGTAAAGGTGAGAAAGGAAAACCGGCTTTTAACCGGCTAACGTAAGTAATAAGCGCGAAAGTAGAAATATTAGTGGCGGGTTTGGCGGCAGAGGAGCATAAGGCATGACCGTAGGCTACGTGATCGAGATCAATGAAACTCGTGGGAGTGTACACTTTGTGTTTCCGCCGTATTCGCCGGGAGAGGTGGTTCATTGCATGAACTGATGCCATTGCAGTGCCTCTGATCTAGAGGTCGGAGGTTCGTGCCCGACAGTGCCAAGATTTTCGACAACAGCTTATCAGCTAGGTCGAATTCAGCCGCAGGCTGGAGGAGAATTCTAGCGACCGGCTGCTCTAATCGGTGGGTTTCCGTGGTTTCTCCGATCAACACCAGGTGACTGCTAGAGCAGTAACCTAACAAATAAGCCACTGACCATCTTTCCTTCCTACTTCTTGTTCTTGCCTCAGCTCTTTCACCCACTTACCCTTACGAACAAGCTCTATACTACCACACAAGTCGGTAGACCAGTCCAAAGCTTGGAGCTTGGAGCGGCTGGAGGGGTGCTCACTGGTGGGAGATACCTGGTTGGAGAAAATGATCGAAAGCCGGAGAATCTCGCCATCCAACGGGCAAAGATCAGCGCCACCTTCCGCGATAAAAGATGCGCTACTCTGACGGTGCGAAGGACTTTAGCAGATTCGCGCCCGGAAACACTAATCAAACAACAAATATTTGAGGACGTGTGAGAACAGATGGCTAAATAAAAAAAACGATTTTCTTTGTATTCCAAAAAATTGTTAAAATTATTATCAATCATATCACATGTAAACATTTTTTCAACTCTAGATTTTATAATAATTTCATGTACTTAATATTGCAGTTCCCCTAAAAATGGACTTTAGCGCTAAAATCCGAAACGTTGTGTAAATTAAAATAAAAACTATAAATATTCACTTCTTTAGAACGTTTATTTAAGAATAATATTGTTCTAGTTGTCCTTAATTAAACGAATCGCAGATTAATAATTGCCGTTAAGAGATAGTGATTTTTTTCATACTTAAAAACAATAACAATTCGCTTCTACCTTACAATTCTACTTAAGACATAAAGAATGAACCAATTACAGATGTTAACTTAAAATCGAGTACCGAAGTCGATAGACGATAACGCCATATGGGGCATGGACCCAGTCGATATCTCAAAATCGATTCTCACATCTAACCAACTGTAAACTAGAATGTCTCACAGCCAATAGAAACTCATATTTTGCTTACTTTTATGTTAGACATTGTGAATACTTCAGTCTATCACTTATCTTAATGTTTACGTCTATGCGTTCTGCTCATGTCCACGTTCTCATTGTTCTTAATGCTACATAAGAAAACGTTTATGCTTTTGTGTTTTTATCTTATATTAATTTGAATAATTGGTGACTACATTTTGGAAATTTGTAGTTTAAATTATACCAAATAATTATGTTGTAGTCAGTGATTTTAAAGATTTAAAGTTAGTTTTCTATCTCGCTATAAAACCTAATTCTTTTGAAGAATTGTTATTTCATGTGATTTATACGTGACATTTATATTAAATTTTGTAATGAAAAACTTTTTCGTGGTTGAAGTTGGTACGGCTAATACGTGTGGCGTTTTCCCCCACCCACTGCGCGTACATATAATGTCGGTGGTGGTGAGGGAACCGTCAGTTGTGGGTCTTCTGCGTCAGCTACTAGGCTTTACTGGTGTCGTGTTGAGTAAACGGAAGGCGTTTGCAAAATGATTACTGGCATGGATCTTCTTTCCTTTATGTCCAACAAGCCTTGGGCTTTGAAATTTCTCACACAGCAACAACATAAGGTGTTGATTCGCATCACTGGATTGGTGCTGCTTTTCATCGGTATATTGTACGCTGTTCAAATTATGCAGTTTGAAGCAAGGAAACGGCATGTATCCAGTGACCATGATTCAGCGAACAATGCTGAGAGGAAGTACATTACTGGAACAGGTTAGTTGCTTTCTCCAGGCGATAGCGCTTGTCAAATTTCTTCTAATGACAAAGATGTGTTTTTTCTTCAGATAATGATTGGTTGTCTACCACACTCAGCAACTTTTCGACCAATGTACTTACCAATAACAACGATATTTACACCACTGATAAAAGTTTGCCACCTCCCCCAGGGGGTGAAGTATCAGCTGACATGACTACTAAACAAAACAGTAGTTATACTCCTGTTAGCTGGATACCTATTGCAGAAAAAGATGTCGAAGCCGCTAAGTCTAATAAAGCCTGCAACAACAGCAGAGAGGAGACAGGTTGGTTTCTTTATTTGAGACGTTTCACATTACGTCTTCTGTGGATTTCAGAAAATGTAATAGGGCTTTTGTTTTTTGTGCCAGATTCTAATATTTCACCTAGCCTTTCCGAGGACGGTAACTACACGTCGCAAAAGGGATGGTTACATGACCCAGTCGCCGATGCTTCAGCTGCTATATCTGTCGAGCGCCATAGTAACAATTCTGTAGAAAGTTATTTACCTGCATCGGACATATCAACTCCAAAGGCTGCCGATTCCTCTAGTAATTATAGCAGTGAAGCAGGTGTGTTGGCAAGTCCAGATTCCAAAAGTTTAGATTATACATCGGCTAAGCCATCCAATAATGACAGGGCTACTGAGGCAAATCAGTTTCCTTCTGTAGTCGGCAAGATGTTTCCTGCTGTTTCTCCGAAGAACTACAGTGACTTGTCTCAGATAAATTAGTCCCCATCTCCACATACCAATATTTCTGCTGCAATGAATACTAAGAAGTATCTCAACATTGGTGAGAGAAGTTAGTTGCCTGCTCGAGGCACTGATATTTCAGTTGATACAATTGCCCATGGTAACAATAACTACTCTTCTGAAACACTTTCGCTGCTTGCAGCTTTCAATGACACTTCGAATGAAAGGTATTTTTATTCCACCGTATCATCCTCTGAGACCACTCCAAGAAATCTCCTTGGTACTGTGAACAAAAACTACGCTTCCAAGTCAAATTTGTTGGCTACAAGCCTCCTCCTTTTCAGCTTTAACTACATTTAAGACTTCTGTGCCTCTGTTTAAAAATCCGTTAGTGGTAACAATTTGACAACATAAATATTCAAATATTGTTACATAATAATAGTGTTATAGAAATAATAATACATTATAGTGTTTTGAATTTGTATTTATTTGCTTCAGTTTAATTTAATGTAATTCATGAAATAAATTTGTGCATTTCGAAAATAAATTATATTTGGTTAATGAAAAATTATCATTTCTTGTTCTGTCCCTTTTGATAAAAATTGAAAATTTCGTGCATAATAAATTAGTACTCTTAATAAATATATTTGATGAAATTTGTTAATATTATCTTTATGTAATATACGTCCAAGTCGTATTTACTCTAGGTTTATGAACAAATATTCTATTTCTCATTCTGATATTTATTAGATCTGTGATCCAATTATTAGAAAAGACGAAAATTAATTTTAAATAGTACAATAATTTTTAACGTTTCCTTCAATTGATATCCTTTTTATTTCGGAGTCAACTATCAATTACTGCGTAGTAAAAAATTTTTATATTTCCGTATTATAAGTATTATCGGGCAGAAATCAGTGATTTTTAGACAGAAACTCATATTTGGGGACACTGGTGTCGAATATAGGGTAATTCCTTGTTCATATGTGTAGTAAATTACTTTATCTAACAGGTTGTCCAGTCAGATTCTACGATTTGTCGATTCTTGATACCGGAAAATTGATTGACAGCAAAACGTCTGCTTGTGATCAACGCTATCGTTTAAACCGCCCAGAGAAATTTCTCCAAGTTTGATTTCCCAAAAGATCTAGAGGAATCTAATTCCTTAACTGATCAGTGTCTCCGGACTCGTCAACTAGTCTCGTCAAAATGTACATGTGTTTGTTGTGGGAGTTGGCAATGATCTTCTCCCGTTGAATAGCGAGATCCTTACGCTTATCTCCACATCGGCTAGTGGGTTTCCGCAACCAGGTGTCTCCCACCCGCGGGGCACCTCCCCAGTCGGGACAAGCTCTAAGCTCCAGACTGGTCTCCCGACATGTGTGATAGTGTAAGCCATGTGAGTGTATGTGTGTAAGCAAGGGTGAGGGTAAGACTATGAAGAGGAAGAAAATAGCGGCTAAATTCGACCGAACTCGAAAGTTTGATCGACGGAGAGGCGAATTTCCCATGAAGCCTCAAGTGGCTCCAAGTTTAGCCTTCGATAGCGTAAAGATGCTTAAAAAGATGGCAGGTCTCCTTTTCGATAAAACTAATAAAAATGAAATCTGTTGTTCATTTGTTCTGTTGTTTATTCAAAAATCTTAAACAATTTTTCGAAAATACGAAAACTTTTCGAGTAATTTAGCGTAAGAATGGCCCATTGTAAACAGTTCTTAAAAGAAGAATTTTTTTTATTAATTTTGTTGTCATGTGTAGACGACGATAAAAATGGTCCCATTTTTGGCTCTCTAAATTTCCGAAAACTAGAAAAAATTAGCATCCTAAAAGTACAATAGTAATGATAGAGATATTGTTCTATTGAATATCCAGTCCAAAAAATTAATTCATAATGTAATTCATTTCAAGAAAGAATATCTTTAAAGAAGTTTATGTACTAAAACACACGTTATAGGGGAATATAGGTCTTGAAATAATTTAAATGAAAACATTTGAATTTTTGAAATATTCCAATTGCAAATGATCACCTTTTTTATGCATTGGGAATGGTGTGTACAGCATTGTGGTTGGTTGTGTAGTCTTACATAACACCTTTGTTCGAAAATTCTGAAAAATAAGTTTTAAAAATTGTTCAATTCCCTTACCTATCAGCAACTAGGAGCAATACAGACCCCATCAAACCTTACAAATCCATTGTATATATTAACAAGTTTTCAGAGCCTTTGGGTAAACTTCTCAGAAGTGACAATTATTCAATAGCATTCTCCCACAAAAGAACCGTGAATAATGCTTTTTTCAGCAAAACTATAAATAGGATAGCCACAGAGTATACGAGCTTCTTGGTTTACTTGGTACTCCGTGAGGGTTGCGATAAAGTCGACATTGGACAAAAAGGACTATATCTTCAAAAAAGTAGTATCAACATTTGTGTAGTTGTTTGTCGCTTCGTATGTTTTTAAAACCAATACAACACTCCTTAGCTTAACTTCATAGATGATGCTCAAGCAGACAGAAGTGTGAGGATTTTCAATAAAGAAATATGTGCGTTTATGTGTTAATCATCCTCCATCCAAACTGTGGTGAAATTTAGTGTATTTGTCGTCTTGTTAAGAAATATTATTCGATCACACAATTTTATGGTCGCCTGAAAGAAATGCTGTACTAATGTGAGTTCAGAAAAACAGACGGCTGTGTCTTTATGAACACAGAAAGAAATGTGAAATCAGTTGTCTGAATACCGCCATGCGAGATGAATTCAATTCATTTCTAGCAGCTCTCATTCACCTAGATAGCCGTCAGAGAAATGGCCGAGAATGTCACAGGGAATTGATGGAAGCACTTGGAAGCAAGGCTCTTTAATATCAGACAGTCGCGAGAGGGGTAGAAGGGTTTCTGGGGTACGCGAAACGATTTGTGATCAGCAACGCACGGGACGATCTGTGAGTGTGTGATGGGCGTGTGTGGGCGTGTGGGAATAGAACATCTGAGCAATTTGGTGTTTACAATGAGTATGTAAGGGTTTTGGAATGTTGTGAACTCGTACATGCTAAAATGCTTTGAAACATGAAACCAGCACTGTCATTTGAAATACCTTAATAAATATGAGAAACATAAATTTGATGTGATGTAAATATCCATGCACTTAGTTCACACCTAGTCCCTTCATGTGTATATTTCACATTTCCACCCGTGCTTATATTCTCATCAAAAAAGATCGCCATGACTTACATCCTAACCCTCGTATATACATTCGGCATTATAAAAATGCATGTGCTAAATATATGCTTAGAACTCAACTGCCCGAATTGAAATGAATTGTAACTCCAACATTGCATAAGCCATAAAGGCGAATCGTACACTTTGTAGTTAGCATTGAAAACGTATGAAACTATAAATTATAAGTTAGAAATTAAAGATATAAAAAGAGAATGTACGGTATAAAGTACACAAATATACTTATTTTAATTATGTTTTTAAATGAGTTTTTACACATTAATATTGCGGACGCCAGACACAATTCACGTCTATCAAAACGCATTTCAATAATATTGATGAAGCTCTTGCTGGAATAATGAAGTATTTTGTATTTGTTTTTGTTGAGAATATGTTAATTTTATTATTTCAATTTAATTGTAAAAATTCTCATGCATTTCTGGTCAATACAATAGTTTTTACGAAAGTTAACATGTTTTGCTAAATATTAATTTAAATTTTTCGAGAAATTGTGACCCTTTCACAGATCTAAACAGAAATATGGGACATACAAGAAATTTCTAGTTCTTTCTGTCTTGTAAATCCTTTATAAAGAACTACAATTTCAAACCATTAATTCAATGAAAGAAATTAATTTTACATTTTTAATTCACGCACTAGTGGCGCATGTGTGCTCTGGACTAAAAACCACAAAGTCATGATAAGGAAATACCAGAGACCTGGGCGCTTCAGTTAGCTTCCTTTGAGACTGTTATCTTCATGTAACTTGAGTCTTACTGTTAGTCCCGGTTACGCATATGTCCGAGGTCATTTCCTGTCCGGGTTATTTCAGCCCGCACGCCACGATATCCAGCGCCGGCACGATATCCAGCGCCGACGCTTCGACGTCGCACGCGGACCGGGCCACGAAACAATATTTACAATTGTTCACTTAATAACACATTCATTTCACGGAGGTGTGATTGAATTTTTTTTTTTTTTTTTTTTTTTTTTTTGTTTGTTTGTTTGTTTGTAATTTCTCGTCAAGCTCGTAAACCTCGTCACGCTAAGATTGGTCGTTCCCCATTTTAAAAAATGCAGGTCGAGGCAGCTGGTGTGAACGAACAAACATTAAGAAATGTCCACGTAATAACATTTATAAATTTCATGGAAGTGTTTTTATTTGTTTTTGTGTATTTGCTGTCAAAGATGACAATGGAAATGACGCTTTCTCTCAAACCTCGTCATGTAAATTTTAAATGGCCGCCATTTTTAAAGGGGGCATCAAAGGCGGTGGTTGTTAACGGAAAACATTAACAAGTGTCCACTTAATAGCGGAAATGACTTAATTAATGAAAATGACCCTTTCTTTTAAACGTCGTCATGTAAATTTTAAATGGTGGCCAATTTGAAAGAGGTAGGTCAAGGCGGCTGAAAAGCTATTTTCAAATGTTGATTTAATAACATACATTAATTTCACGGAGATATATTAAGATATTTTAGTGTTACTGCCTATCACAGTGCACTTATTTGTACTTATTGCATGTTTCAGCCTAGTATATCTAAGATATATTTATTTATTTAGTCAAAAACAGTAAAAACTGTATGTGACGTATGGGGGAGATGATGATCTGCGCACGTTTTCTCTAGTTCCAGAATTCCTTCCCATCATTTTAACTATAAATAGTTAAATGATGAGTAAAAGTTAAATATAAATAAATAATAATAAAATTTATAAAAGCGCGTGATTAGCAATACTTGAAAAACTAGACATTTTCGTTCCCGAGTTATAGAAAACTTATTTGCAACGGTAAAACAAACTGCAAATTTGATCTTTCTGCATCGCTAACAAAATAGCAACTCGTCCTTACCTCTACACCTA